CTATAAATATATACCTTCACGTAATTAGAAATGCATTTAGTTGTTAAATTTCAATTATTAAATTTGAATTATATGTAAACATTTCTTGGTATAAATATGAATTTATCATTTTGTTCAATTCTTAGTTTACATTTAACAAATTTTTTTTTTCTATCAATATAAAAAATTCTTGGAACAACCTGCGACCCGTATGGGCTCAACTCAGATGGGTTAGCAGGTGGGTTTGGGTTGTAGTCCAAAATTTGTGGGCTGACCCGGAACCGGTCCGGAACCCGTAGAGAACGGGCTTATTTCACGCGGACCGTTATCGGGATCATATGTTGGCGGGCCGACCCGGCCCGGCCCATCCGCATTAACACCTCTAGTTATAAGTCACCGTGTGGGTCATATTGAGGTCCCATAAAGCTCAATAGTGTGGGTCGTGTTGAGGTCCCGTAAATCTCAACATTGTAAAGGATCGGTATTCCTTGTTGTAAGTTACCATCGTATAAAATTGGTCTTGCTTGTGACGGAGAGCTTGGTAACGGGAGACGTAGAACATTGTATTGGATCGAACCTCCATAATATATCGTTTGCACTCTCTATCCCTTTTACTTATCGCTTTTATATTTGTGCTTATTATTTGAATTAATCTATTTAGTCTTTACTTGGTTGAATTTAGATTAATTCTTCGAAAAAGTTTCAAAAACCAATTCACTCCCCTCTGGTTAGTTATTCTTGGGCTAACAGCATTGATTTTGATGGCCGACATTTTTTCAGATTCTCTTTGTAATTGTTTTCCGGTAACGATGCCCGCCACTATTATGTGTCTGCAAATTTCCCCACGAAACATGATATGAAGCTGTGATCTCAATCTGTAACAGACCACGATCTTGTTTGTGACCTGTTAGAATTGTGACCTCTATGACGTGTGACCGCCACTGTTATGTGTTTGAAATTAGGGAAAATGTGTGATGAAATTTATCCATTTGACTATAATATGACACTTTGATCATAGTGTGTATATGTG